TTGGGCAATGCCAGGATCTCTAAAATCAACTCAGCTCATCTCAAGTGTCTCTTGTCTCTCAGATTCTTACCTGACATCAGACTCAGGGAAGAACTTCCTGGTTTGAGGAGTTGTAAAAAGCTCAAAAGGGACACTTCTGGGGACTTGGGGTCTCTCTGCATGGCTTTGAAACCAATGGGACTAAATGAACAAAGTCATGCCTCACAGCAAGGGTGGATGAGCAGAGGAGAGTCTACAACTTTTCTTCCATCCTTTCTTCTCTACTGTGTCCTCCTCAGGGTCAGACATTCTCAATTCTTGGTTCCTAATGCCGGGCACATTGTTGGCCCCATGATGGAAGAGGAAGTGGAAAGATGAATAAGTAAAGGAAAGAATAAATAATCAGATTATGGGAACAAGAGTCCTATGTCATTTTGCTCCCTAAACTAAGCCTGGGTCTGCCTCATAGACTCTTCCTGAGCACTCTTCCACTCCTAGGCACCAATTACAGTGACCTTATATACCTGTAACACACAAGCAAACCCCTGTTTCAAGGGCTGTGCTTGGGGCTGAGATAACAGGCAAATGAGACACAGTCCCCATCTGCAAGAAACTCACAGAAGTGACTTCTGCTTCTCTTCCAAAGCCCTATCAAGTTTTTTTTTTAATGTTTATTTTGTTTTTGAGAGACAGAGAGAGAAACAGAGAGAGAGAGAGAATGAGCAGGGCAGGGGCAGAGAGAAAGGAGACACAGAATATGAATCAGGCTCCAGGCTCTTAGCTGTCAGGACAGAGCCTTACAGGGAGCTTGAACTCACAGACTAAGATCACGACCTGAGCCAAAGTTGGACACTCAACCAACTGAGCCACCCAGGCACTCCAGCCACTGTCTTCTTTTGTCTCAACTTTGGAGCCCATGTGAGGAGTTCAGTGCTACTATCTATTTCCTGATCTCTCTTTTGTCTCAGCCATAAGGTGATTCCCATGGCTGACATTTTGGGGAGATGAGTTTTGAGTATTTATTACCAGTTTCTCCCCAAGTATTTTTTTCATAGCTGACATTTTGGGGGATGAGTTTTGAGTATATATTACCAGTTTATCCCCAAGTATTTTTTTATTGTATCAAAACATACATCATTTACTGTTTTAACCATTTTTAAGTGTAGAGATCAGTGACATCAAGTCCATTCATGGTGCTGTGCAGCCATCACCACCGTCCATCTCCAGAACTTCACGTATTACCCTGCTGAAAGTCTGTCCCTATCAAACACTAACTCTCCCCTCCCCCCTCTTCCCAGCCCCTGGCAGTCCCCATCCTGACTCTCTAAATTTGATTACTCTAGGTGGTCAAATCATGGCATCATACAATATTTGTCCTTTGCTGTTTGGCTTATGTCACTTAGGCCAATGTCTCCAGGGTTCTTCTTTGTCTGTAGATGTGTGAGATTTTTCTTCCTTTTCAAGGCTAAATAATATGGCACTGGACGTGTGCACCACATTTGTTTATCTATTTGTCCACATTCCAATTGCTTCCACCTTTTTTACAGTTGACTTTGATGACTTGCACTCCATTTAGATGGAGGAATGGAGTCTTAAATTGACACCTATTGGGTGAGGTGAGAGCAGCTACCCTCCACCCTGCCATGAGATGGGGAGGGCATGCAAAACACCCAACAGATGTCAGCATCCAATTAAACATACTTTATAATATTTAGTAGCTAATACATCTTTATGGTAAGAAATTTGGAAAATATAACAATGTGACAAAAAGAAGTAAAAACTGCCTCTAATTTCTGCACCCAGAGATAACACAGGTGATGTGTATGTACAGAGAAAAAAAAAGATTAGAAAAGAGCAATTTGGTCGTCTTGGTCCCCCAGGGCTTCTATAACAAAAATCCCAGAGACTGGGTGGTATAAATAAAGAAGAGACATTTATCTCTCAGAATTCTGGAGGCTGGACAGTCCAAGGTCAAGGTGCTGGCAGATTTGGTGTTTGATGGATGCCTGGTTCCTGGTTCATAGATGTGCCGAATTCTGGAGGCTGGACAGTCCAAGGTCAAGGTGCTGGCAGATTTGGTGTTTGATGGATGCCTGGTTCCTGGTTCATAGATGTGCCTCCTTGCTGAGTCTTCACATGGTGGAAGGGGAGAGGGAGCACTCTCCAATCTCCTTGATAAAAACACTGATTCTATTCATGAGTACTCTACCCTCATGACCTAATCACCACCCAAAGACCCCCACCTCCTAACACCATCACACTGGGGGTTAGGGCTTCAAGCTATGAATTTGGTGGAGGAGGGCAACACAAACATTCAGTCTACAGTATTGTTAATAATAACTTTCTTCTGCTTGGGTCTGCTGTAGGGAAGCCTCCAGGAGGCAGACCTCTGCAACTGCAAGGGTCTCAGCCCCCAGACCCAGCGGCTGCAGTTCATCTGTGCCTCAGGAGCTATAAATTGGTGCACAAGCTGGGGCAGGCATCTCGCAAATGTTATGCAGGATGTGCAGCGAGATGTTAGTTCGTGTATATATAAAGCTGCATTCCCATTACAGAGCTCCTGATAATTAGGCTCCAGAATTTGTGGTTTGGACAGAAGCGGCTTCAGAAGGAGTTTGTGTTAGGGGAGCTATCTATGGAGGAAGCTTCCCATTTTTCCATTGCCAGGATCCCTTGCTCCACCCCACTTGGATCCTGGAGAACCCCCCATCCCTACCCCACTGGGAGAGCTGTGCACTGTTTTCTTAATACTCATTAGATGTTTCAGAGAAACCACCTTCAGAGGACTGCCAGCCTTTTCCATCTGCCCTCTGGGATTTTGAGGGGCCAGAAAGGATCCAAGAACTGACTGAGGTAGGACTGCTATGTGAGGAAACCTGGGGCAAGGATGAGGTGTAAGGGCGGCTGGTGTTTGAGGCCATATTCTCCTGAGGTAGCGGGAGACAAATGTAATTGTCAATTTCTAATAAGTTTTTGAGTTGAAACCCAAGAAAATCAATACAGGAGGGCTTTCTGTCCCCTAACACACTCTGGGAAAGCCTATTATAATACAGATATTTCAGAACTGCCAACACACTGAAATTCACATGAAACCCCTCCCGCACACTCTCTCCCTCCAAGTTGACACAAGCCATCAATGCACAAGACTGTGGCTCTTTGTGCCCTGATGACCATAGCAGCTGCTTCTCCTACTCAGCCCCCTGCATTTCTCAGGAGCTGTAGTGGGCGTGATCCCGTGTGTTCCCTCCCTGCACCCGTTCTGAGGGGTAGGCAGACAGAGACTGTGCTATCCTCACATTGGATAATCTCAGAGGGATTGAGTGCCCTGCCCAAGTCCTGTGTCAGGGAGTGTGGTGGCCAGGACTCAGAGCCACATTCGCGAACTCCAGGAGGGCAGGCAGGGATGACAGGCTTCAGGAGAGATGGAACATCAGTGATGGGATCACTTCTTCATGAGAAGGGATAGAGTAGCCTGGCGGATGAGAATGGAGCAGGCAAAAGAGGATGTACTTGGGGTTGCATTTTAAAATCCCTTTCACTCGTATTCTTTTTCCTTTTTAAATGGGGGTAAAATATACATGACATAAAATTTACCATTAGTGACACTCAAATGTTGTGTAAACATCACCACAATCGAGTTCTAGAACATTCTCATCATCCCAAAGGGAAACCCCATGCCCATTATCTGCACCTAGTCCCAAGGACACAGCTGGTGCCAGACAGAGTCAGCATTTGACACATGTAACATGTGCCTGAACAATTAGACCACCCTATTCTGCCAATAAGAAGGGTGGTTTAAAAAAAAGAAGAAGAAGAAGAAGATGAAAGCGTTAATTTGAATATGGAAACTTTTTAGGGTAATATTTAATTTTTCCAGTAACAAACATTTTAAATCACCTACTATATATATTAATACATTAACTTAAAAATACAGCTTTTCCCCAACTCCCTTTGTTATGAAATATCCAACACGTCACTCACATCTTTGACATCAGTGTCTTTCTCACTACTGGGACCATTTTTTAATGTTTATTTATTTATTTTGAGAGAGAGAGAGAAATAGAGAGAGAGAGAGAGAGAGAAATAGAGAGAGAGAGAGAGAGAGAGAGAACTGCAAACAGGCTCCACACTGTCAGCTTGGAGATTGACTGGAGGCTTGATATCACAAAACTTGAGATCATGACCTGAGCTGAAATCAAGAGTCAGACGCTTAACCAACTGAGCCACTCAGGCGCCCCTAATTGTAGAATATTTTGATCATCCCAAAAAGAAACCCTGTACCATTAGCAGTCACTCCCTCTTCTCCCTTCCCCTCCAGCCCCCCACCAAAACAGTTAATCTGCTCTCCATCTCCACAGATTTACCCATTCTGGATATTTCATATACATAGGATCATATAATGTGTAGTTTTGTGTGCCTGGCATCTTTCACTTCCCATGTTTTCAAGATCCATCTATGCTGTAGCAGGTCAACACATCCTTCCATGGTACAAACATTCCACCTCTTATGTATTTCTTCATCACCTCATTGATATTTGGGTGCTTTCATATTTTGACTATTGTGAATAGCACCCAAGTTCTTCCATTGACCGCCTTGTGCGATTATCCCCATTTTACAGATGCAACACAGAGGCCATAACAATGGGGAGTCCAGTCTTATCTTGCACCCTCCTCTGTCCAGTGGGTCAGGGTTTATCTTAGGCTAGAATAGCTGGTTGATGGCCAGAGAGAGAAGAATGTGTTAGATCCTCAGTTAAGCCAGGGAGAGCCCAAGCGCCCTCTACTCCTGGGAAGCCTGTTTGCTCACGTTTTGCAGCTCTGTGAAGTGTGAGGAATCAAGGCACACCTATGTCGAGGACAGAGGACCCTAAACCCCTTCCCCTGGCTTGCTCAGGTTCTACAGTGAGAAGGGTTGTGTGGTGTCCAAAAAAGTTCTACCACACCAGCAACTGGAGGCTGTACAACTGGGGAAGCAGGTCTGAGCCTCAGCCCACAGCAAAGCCCTGGCCTGCCCTCCTTCTGATGTCCAGAGGAAGCCCAACTCTGTCCTCTGAAGCCATGGGCCCTTCCGTCTCTGCAGTCCTGTCCATGATGAAGCTCGGTCTGTGGTGTCTCCTTCTGATGCCAGCAGGTGAGTGGGGGTAATCACGAGGACATCATGTCGCACCTGTAGGCTTCCATGTTGCATGGAGGAGACTCCTGCAGGTGGGCTCACAGCAGCTGCTAATGCTACAGAGCACTTGAGTAGCTCATTCCCACAGTGGGAAGGTGGCAGGGCACTCACAGCTTTCATGTTGGGAGCTGCTGTGTCACCTTGAATCTCCCGAAGGTCAGAGTTCTTCATCTGCGAACTGTCCTGGGCTGTTGTGAGGATCACATGAAATGCAAGCCTGCGACTAGCACGTGGGACACAGTAAGCACTCAGTACATGGCAACTATGGTTACTGATGTACTTTCCTGGATTTTAGCGCAAGAATCTTGGCTTGCTCAGGCACCAGAACCTTGAAGAGTGAAGCTGTTTGCAGACCATGGTGAAAACAAACACGAGAGATTCCATCCACAATTTTGGAACACTTTGCCTAGTTGATAAGAAGGAGCAAATGCCAGTGGCTTGAGCAAAAATGGAGGGCATGCCTGAAGTGACAGAGGATTTTGTGGTTAGTGTTAGTGGTTTGTTGACAGGTACATGGGAATGAAAGGATCTCTGAGATGTGTGAAGCCCTTCTCCCTGCAGCTTGCTCTGCACCAATTAGATATCTCCCCCATATTGCTGCACCTTGGGGCTCCTCAGGTCTAGGCTTCATCTTGTCTGCAGGTCTGACTTCTTCCCCATTCCTGTGCCTCTTCCTCCTTGTCCAGCACTTATTTCCATGCCTTCTTATCTAATAGTCACAGAGTAACTGACATTTCTTTAAGTTTATTTATTTATTTTGAGGAGGGGAGGCAGAGAAGGAGAGAGAGGGAGAGAGAGAATCCCAGGCAGGCTCCATGTTCTCAGTGCAGAGCCCAACGTGGGGCTCAATCCCCTAAACTTGAGTTGAAATTGAAAGTCAGAGGCTTAACCAGCTGAGCCACCCAGGCGCCCCTTTGAGCTGGTTGCTTTGTTAAACTTTACTTCACACTATTTTGTTTAATCCTTAACAATGTTTTGAGCCAGACTCTGGATAGAGTCCCTATTTTACAGATGAGGAAACAGAGGTTGAGTGGCTCTGATCTGATAGGAGAGGGACCCATGCACCCACCACCATGGACTCCTCGGGACTCCACTCTTCCTTCCTGTCCATAGGGTCAGCACAGCAAGCCTCTCATACCCAAGCTGAGGACCAACTCTTCAAACACCTCTTTAGGGGCTACAACCGCTGGGCACGGCCAGTGCCCAACACCTCGGATGTGGTGATCGTGCGCTTTGGGCTGTCCATTGCTCAGCTCATCGATGTGGTACGCCTGTCCCCTATTCTTCTCTCTCTTGGTATCAGCCCCCAGGCTACAGGTCCCCTTCCCAGGGGCCTTCATCTCTCCTTCCCACTCTCCCAGCCCCACGGCCTCTCCTGAGAGGACACTGATTGGCAGCAGTGGGTTTTCTAGGTGCCCTCCTTGTTCCACTCGACACAAAGTCCCAGAGGACCCAAGTGGCTGGTGTGATCCTGAAAAATCTGATAAGGGTGACAGCATCAGGAGGGGATGGCAAATTGTGTTGGGCTTGGGGTGTCACGTAAGAGATTCTTCTGGGGAGTAGGGAGCCTGCATCAGCCCATCCCACTCCACCCTGTTTTGGGGAGCTGGTTCCATTACTCTACTGTTCTTATTCTCTCTACCGGTCAGGATGAGAAGAATCAAATGATGACCACCAACGTCTGGCTAAAGCAGGTGAGATCCTCTCTCCTGGTTGGGGTGAGAATAGGGGAGGGAGCCCACTGACCCCAGGCCCACCCAGGACTCTCTCACTATCAGTGGGACTCTAATTCCTGTTTCACCCAAGAGTTACCACTTGAGACATTCCCAAAGCCATCCAATTGCAGACTGCTTCTCGTAGGGGCTGTGCTCCGAGATTTCAAGTCCAGTACCTGAGAATGTCACTTACAAGACCCTAGTCATCCCCATTCTGGGAGTCGGCATTTCCTACGTCCCCACTATTGTTTGCAGATTAGCTTATTGAGTTGTTGCTGAAAACCCAAAGGAGGTTTCATTCTGCCCATTTTACACCCGAGGAAAGCCTGAAGCTGAGTACAACTGCGCTAGAAAAGGGGAGGGGGCGGGTGTGCTCAAGTCTGAACTCCAGGCTCCTTCTGTGGGAGAATGCTGGGTGTTCCACATCTAGGCTGCCTAACAAACTACTGCACAGTTTAATGGTTCAATTAACACTTGTCATATCTCATAGTTTTATGGTCAGGAGTTTGGGTGATTTTTCTGCTTTGTATGGCTACTACTGGTGTTACTAGGTGCTGTTTAAGCTGTGGTCTGCTCTGGGGGGCGGGGGTGGCGTTTAAGATAGCATTACTCATGTCCTTTCCTTAGGAGGGGTGTCTGGAAGGCTCTGAAAAGTTCTGGAAGCTGTGCCCACTGGGCCCTTCTTCCTCTTCAGGCATAGTCAGGGTCTCTCCATGAGTTCTCTCCTGCAGAGGAGTCGAATGCCTCACCTGGTGGTTCAGATACCTCAGAGCAAGGGTCCGAAGAGATAGGAAATGAAGCTGCTGGCGTCTTGAGGTCTGGAAACTGGCCTGCATCAATCCTGGAATAGAATGTGTGGCCTTTTTTGATGTACCATCCTTGGGGGCAGAACTTGGGGGCACAGGCTTTATTGGAGCCTGAATATATTCCTTTCCTCTTCACCCCCTCATACTCTGCCTGGCCCTTCCCCAGGCCCTGAAGTAATTTTTTCTAACATTTATTTATTTCTGAAAGAGAGAGACAGACAAAACACAAGTGGGGGAGTGGGGGAGAGAGAGGGAGACACAGAATCTGAAGCAGGCTCCAGGCTTTGAGCTGTCAGCACGGAGCCCGACATGGGGCTCGAACCCATGAACTGTAAGATCATGACCTGAGCCGAAGTTAGACACTCAACCAATTGAACCACCCAGGCACCTCCTAGAACAGGTTCAGAGATACAAGTGGGAGCCCAGTCTAAGACCAATAGCCCTCCCCGAGGCCTGTCCCAGCCTTCCAGTCCTTTCCCTTCTGTGGGGTTAGGAGAGGTGCTTGGGGCACTCCCGAAGCCAGCTGCTGGGATGTCCCCAGGCTGCCTAGGTATGCCCCAGGCAGCTCCCTGGACGGTGCTGGTGACATGACACCATCCCCCTCTGCCCCCCACGGACAGGAGTGGAATGATTACAAGCTGCACTGGAACCCGGCCGACTTCGGCAACATCACATCCCTGCGTGTCCCTTCGGAGATGATCTGGATCCCCGACATTGTCCTCTACAACAAGTAGGAAGCCGGGGATCTTGGAGGCCCTGGGAGGGGCGGGGAAAGTGAGGCTTGGCCTGGTCGGACATGTGAGGTACCTGCATGTAACTCTGCTTCCTTGCTTTCCTCTCAGCTCCTGCTTTGCTCTCAACTCCATGCTTCTTCTTGGTTCCTGTATTTCTTTCCTTGTGTTCTCTCACTCAGATACCCAAACGTACTAAGTGTACATCTCACTCTAAATCAGTGCATGGTGCTGTGCTGGAGGGGTGGGGGGGCACGATTTGCCAACACTGGGCAGTATTTGCAAACTGTGGCTGGTACAGGCTCTGAAAACAATGGCTTGGTTTGCAGGATGGCCATACTGTTGGAACAGGTAAGCAGCATCCCTGGGGGAACACCATCAAGAGAGCAAACTTGGTATGGTATTTTAAAAAACTCATATTATTGATAGTTGCCTTGAATTCAAGACCAAAAAGGAGCTGTCTTTGAGCATAATGACAAGAAGATAAAGGCCAAGGGAAGTCTAAAGAGAGCCCCATTGAACACCAACAATGCAATTTTGTTTCAGTGTTTTAAATTTTTGTTAATTTCGAGAGAGAGAGAGAGTGGGGGAGGGGCAGAGAGAGAGAGAGAGAGAGAGAGAGAGAGAATCCCAAGCAGGTTCTGCATCTTCAGCACAGAGCTCGACTCAAACTCACAATGTGGAAATCATGACCTGAGCTGAAGTCAGACGCTCAACTGAGTCACCCAGGCACCCCCACAATTTTTTTTAAAGAAGATATAGAGATCTATACTTTCATCTGTGTGTTCACTGTCAGGTAATTCTTCATTAAGAAATCAAAACTTAATGGGGCGCCTGGGTGGCTTAGTCGGTTAAGCATCAGACTTTTGCTTAGGTCACGATCTCACGGTTCGTGGGTTCGGGCCCTGCGTCGGGCTCTGTGCTGACTGCCAGCTCAGAGCCTGGAGACTGTTTCAGAGTCTGTCACTCCCTCTCTCTCTGACCCTCCCCTGCTCACAACTGTCTCTCTCTCTCTCTCTCCTAGAAATAAATAAAACATTTAAAAAAAAAAAAGAAATCAAAACTTAAGGGACGTCTGAGTGGCTCCATCAGTTGAGTGTCTGACTTGGGCTCAGGTCATGATCTCACGATTCGTGGGCTCAAGCCCTGCATCAGAGTCTCTGCTGTCAGCACAGAGCCTGCTTCTGATCCTCTGTCTTCCTCTCTCTCTACCCTTCCCCCTTTCACACTCTCTTTTTCAAAATGAATAAACATTAAAAAAAAAAAAACTGTTCTAGGGGTGCCTGGGTGGCTCAGTTGGTTGAGTGTCCAACTTTGGCTCAGGTCATGATCTTACAGTTCGTGGGTTCGAGCCCCATGTCGGGCTCCATGCTGACAGCTCAGAACCTGGAGCCTGCTTCAGATTCTGTGTCTCCCTCTCTCTCCACCACTCCCCCACTTGTTTTGTCTCTCTCCTCTCTCTCTTTCAGAAATAAATAAATGTTAGAAAAAATTAAACAAAACTGTTCTATAGAAATCAAAACTTAAAAGATGTTTGGCATTATGCTTGTCTAACAGTGTTTTCTAAAGTGGGGCTCTAAGGGGCACTAGTTCTAATAGTTCTAGATATAGAAAGGTCTGAGAAGTAGTCCTGTTGTCAAATAATTTTGGAGAACATTGTACATCGTTAACTCTCCTGCCCTGGCCCCAGTCCTTTGGAAAATGTCAGGACAAGACAGCATATTAAATGTTGTTAGAAGTTGCTCAGCCAAGAATTTGACCTGAATTTGGAAAAGCTATTTTTAAGCAATAAAACAAAGGGAGACAGATCCACTTTTGGAGTCTTGGTGTCTTCAGATAGGTCAAAGGGGAATGACAATGATTCCTTTACACCACCCAGTCCTGGTGAGATCCAAAGCGCTGAATGTCTGTGAACACACATTCAGCACGGATTTCTGGAAGGTCTAATACCATGGGTGCCTAGTGTTTGCTGTCACTGGACTCACGGAACCCTTGTCTGTATCTTTGTGGGGCACATGTTGCCATCTAGTGGTAATTCTGTGTGGTGACAAAGATGCCTTTAAAAAAATTAAAGTTTGCCCTGATATTTGTTACTATCACAGTTCCTGTTTCCAATCCCACTTTCCATTCTCTGGTCTGGAATTTCTCCATGGGAAAGAAGGCTGTCTTCCCATGTATAATTCTTGTTCCCTTGCATCATAGGGAATTGCAAGGAGAAGGAAAGCTCCTTAAATGCTCGAGTATAGAACCCACTGTACCACCTCTCCTCTCCCCCTCCCCGGGGAATCAGGGACTCAAGCTGTCAGGAAGTCCCCAGTGAATGGTCATTTGTTCTTCCAGTGTTTCCAGAGCCTTTGTGAGTCCTTGGATGCCTAGCCCGATGACACCACAAGCATCATCTCCCACCACCCCTTCTTTACAAAAAATTGTTTTGTTTGTTTTTGAGAAAGAGTGAGGGAGAAAGAACAGGGGAGGAGCAGAGAGAGAGGGAGACATAGAATCCAAAGCAGGCTCCAGGATCTGAGCTGTCAGCACAGAGCCTGTTGTGGGACTCGAACCCATGAACCGTGAGATCATGACATGAGCCAAAGTCAGAAACTCAACCGACTGTGCCACCCAGGCACCCCTTCCACCAGCCCTTCTTATGCCCTGCCCCCCAAGCCTGAGTGCACACTGTGCATTCTGTCTTTCCCCTCCTCTTCATCATTCTCCACCAGGCTCCGCAGGTAGGCTTTCCACCCCATCTCTCTGTCAGTCCCACTGGAAGCTTTCAGGGTGACCCTGCTCACTCGGGGAGGTCTGCCCGTCCCCACCCCCACCCCCAAAGTGTCTTGGGGAGTACTTGGACTGTCCTTGAAGTGCTGTTGCCAAACTACCTCCCTTGTGGTGTAGGTGTGTAGGGCTGCATCTCATTTCCCCGAGGTTCCTTAAGGGCAGGCCTGCGTCTCACATTCCATCCCCCACAGCTCCTGTATGGGCCCTACTGGATGAGGTTCAGGCAGAAATGCACAGTAAATGGATGGAGTCAAGGAAGTATCTTTCCTCACCAGCAAAGGTGCTGGGTCTCTTCTAAGCAAGGAACTAAGGACCCCAGGTAGAGAAGATGAGATCCCAGATGAGGGCCCTGCTCACCATCTGCTGGGGGGGGAGGAAATATAAATAATCACCCTAAAATATTAAATGAATATTAACAGACAATGAGACTATATTCCCCATAGGTTTATAAACATGTAAAAAATTATATACATGATCTGTATGTCAATCAAACATATATGATATACATAACATCCAAATGTTAATGTAGTTATTTTTAACATTCTTTTTTTAAATGTTTATTTACTTATCTTGAGAAAGAGAGTGCGCACATGCATTTGTGTCTCCCACACTAGCAGGGGAAAGGTAAAGAGGGGAAAAGAGAGAGAGAGAGAGAGAGTCCCAAGAAGGCTCCATGAACCTTGAGATCTCACCCATGAACCGTGAGATCATGACCTGAGCCGAGATCAAGAGTGAGACTGAGCCACCAACTGAGCCACCCAGGTGCCCCTAAAATTCTTGGTATTTTCCTATATTCTTCAAAATTCCCACATTTGTAATTAAAAAGATAGTGTTTGAAAGACAACTCGGGTCGCTCTGAGTGTCTGTGTGCTGGGAGAGTCTCACACACATGAGTCCCCACAACTTGGCCAGGTTGGCTCTACTCTTGGGGTCCCTTGCTGTTGACTGTCTGGAGCAGCCTGGCTTGGGCAGGTGGGCTGTGCCGGGTCCTCCAACTTCTCTCCTGTCCCCAGTGCAGATGGGGAGTTTGCGGTGACCCACATGACCAAGGCCCACCTCTTCTCCACGGGCACCGTGCACTGGGTGCCCCCGGCCATCTACAAGAGCTCCTGCAGCATCGACGTCACCTTCTTCCCCTTCGACCAGCAGAACTGCAAGATGAAGTTCGGCTCCTGGACGTATGACAAGGCCAAGATCGACCTGGAGCAGATGGAGCAGACAGTGGACCTGAAGGACTACTGGGAGAGCGGCGAGTGGGCCATCATCAATGCCACGGGCACCTATAACTCCAAGAAGTATGACTGCTGTGCCGAGATTTACCCTGACGTCACCTACTACTTCGTCATCCGGCGCCTGCCCCTCTTCTACACCATCAACCTCATCATCCCCTGCCTGCTCATCTCCTGCCTCACCGTGCTCGTCTTCTATCTGCCCTCTGACTGTGGAGAGAAGATCACGCTCTGCATCTCCGTGCTGCTCTCGCTCACCGTCTTCCTCCTGCTCATCACAGACATCATCCCCTCCACCTCCCTGGTCATCCCGCTCATCGGCGAGTACCTGCTCTTTACCATGATCTTTGTCACACTCTCCATCGTCATCACAGTCTTTGTCCTAAATGTCCACCACCGCTCCCCCAGCACTCACACTATGCCCCACTGGGTACGGGTGGCCTTTCTGGGCTGTGTGCCCCGGTGGCTTCTGATGAAACGGCCTGTGCCTGCCTTGGAACCCCATGAGCTCCCAGTCCGGAAGCCCAGTTTCTCTCATTACTGGCTGGAGACCAACATGGATGCAGAGGAGAGAGAGGAGGCAGAGGAGGAGGAAGACAGATGGGGGTGGGCAGCTCATTCATCCCCCTCCATGGGTGTCCTCCATAGCCATGGTGGTCTACATCAAGGGGCCTCAGGGCCCAGTGTGGAGGTCCAGTTGAAGGAGGGTGGGCTTCTGCTGTCACCTCGTATACAGAAGGCACTTGAAGGTGTGCACTATATTGCTGACCACCTGCGATCTGAGGATGCTGACTCTTCGGTGAGTTGGGGCCGGGAGAGGGGCTCTTCCCCTCAGTGATTTTACCAGCCTGGTAGGGAACCATCTCATCTCAAGGTGTTAGTTTGGGTCACCTAGTCTCCTTCATGAGGACCCACTTCTCACAGTGTGGCCCTTGGGAGTCTGGACTAGACTGATAAACAGCTTCTAGCTAGAAACTCTTAAGACACTAATTGGCAGGTGGCAGAACAGCAACCAAGAATGTTCCAGCTAAGATTCACTGGGGGACATCAGGCAAGAAAGGGAGGGACCTCAGATGCTGAAATTCCCTGTGCCATTCTCAGGCCAACCTTTGTCACCATTACCCTATAGTTGGTGAGGGAAGGGGGCAGAGGGAGGCTAAGGGACTATCATCAGGAGATGATAAATCATGCTGCTGCTTGGTCAGCCTTCTTCCTTTGTCCATCAGGGTTTCCTCCTCATTCTCTTTGTTTGTGGGCTCTGGGCATTTTGTGGAACTCATCATTTACCTACAAACCCTGAGGAACCTGGGTCATACTAGGTGGGTTCCCCTCCCTGGCCCCTTCCGTACCCAACATTATTAGGTCAGCTGGCCACTGATCAGAATCGCAGACTTCTTATCAATTTAGGGAAGGATGAAAGCCCAAGAAGTTATTAGTGGGTGGCTTTGTTGAGTAGATAAGAAAAATTAATGATCATCTATCTAATCTGGGAGCAGGTAGAAATCCAGAACAGCTTGCTTGGTTTGTGAGCCCAAATTCCACGAAGCCCCACCCCCCCATGCCCTACCCCTCTTTTCTGGGCTACACTTACCCTTGCTTACCTCCTCCTCTACATCTCCTACAGTGGGTGGGGCAATTGGGTGGGAGGCAATGTTGGGGCAACAAAGTCTTCACCATTTTGTAGCTGCTGAAGGTTGACTTTAAATCACAGCAGGCCCCCTGAGAAGGCCGATGCCCCTTGGTGCTTCTAGAACCTCTAGCCTCCCTTAACTGGAACTTAAGAGTCTACAGGAAGGCCCTGGGTGAGGTCATAATGGCAAGATAGGATGAGGATCACTAGCAGAGGCTTGAGTCTTCAGACAACCTTAGCTTCCCAGTGGTCTCAGTGGGGCCACTGTTGCCCCTAGTGTCATCGCTACAGGGCTGTGAATGGGTGGGACAATTCCCTCTCCCAAGGCCTGGCCTCTGTCACAGTGAGTCCTTTTCTGCCTGCAGGTGAAGGAAGACTGGAAGTATGTGGCCATGGTCATTGATAGGATATTCCTCTGGTTGTTTATCATCGTCTGCTTCCTGGGGACCACTGGACTCTTTCTTCCTCCATTACTGGCTGGAATGATCTAATTTACTGTTCCTTGCTTTGGCCCGAAGGGGGCACTGCTTGACCATCTTTAATCGCTGTCCCCTCTAGAGAACACCTTTGGAGTCAACACCATCTGCCTGCACGTGCCTCTCTGTGGAGTTCCTACACTGGCCTACACTAGGAAATAAGGAACTTGCTTTGAAGAGGGTTACAGCATGGTGGTGATGGTATGAAGCCAGATAAGATTCTCCTGCAGGAGTCACAAAGACACTGAGTACCAGGAGGACCAAGCAATGACCTGAGGGGGAGAGGCACAGACCTCAAAGGATGGGTACATGGGGAAGAAGGGAGAGGGGGGATGGAAGGGGATGGAAGGGCTGTGAACGTGTTGGATTCGAGGTTGGAAAGGCAGGTTAGGGTGTCTTTGAGCCATGGAGAAAAAGAAGTTCAGAGTCTTTCCTGCAGGTCTAACAGTAGCATGGTAAAGGAGAGAAAGGGGGAAGGCGGGCCACCAGTGGAGGTACAGGATAGACCCTCTGGGTGGTGGAGGGATTGTGGTTGGATGCAGGTAGCTGGGCCATCGCACTTTCCTGGAAGCTTATTTGAACCCCTGGCTTCTCCTCACCTTTAGCCACACCCCCTGCTACAAATACCAGCTGGCCCCAGGACAGTGCCAGCTGGCCCCAGGACATTTGGCAGCACTGAGAGTCCCTGTCTGTGGGGGTGCCATCTGGCTTTGAATGCATGTTGACAAACCAGGAAGCTATCCTGAGCCATTCTTGACTCAACTCAAGCTCGCAGCTTGCTCTTCCCACCCCTCTACAGGGCACCTGGTGCTCGGTACTTGAGATCTTTGCTCACAGTGACTGACAGGAATGAGCTGGATAACTTTGCACCTCGAGACTGCTGTGTAGAAGCAGAAGCTGCAGGTCTGCTTCCCTTTCACAGCCTGGCCTCCTGGTCCTTCCTGAAGCCCTGCAGTGGCTTCTAAGCAGCTCTGTATACCCACGGAACACCTACACCTTGGAATCTGGCTATCCTCAGCCCTCAGCCACATGCTGGAATGTGGAGGAGCTCCTGCCCCAAGATCAGGCCTCACCCCTGCCTGTCCAGCCCCTGGGTGGCAGAACCTCAGCAGCTGACAGATGCAGACACCGGGATCCCCAAAAATCATGGGGACCCCAGAGAGGAAGCTGAGCAGGGCGAACATCCAGCTCCCCCTTGGCCTCTGGGGTACCCTCTTTCCAACCCCCAACTCACCTCTCCCTGACAGACACAGAGGAAACCTGCAACACCTCAGCCCAGCCTCCCACTCCTCAGTTCTTCCCAAGACTTGGTGACCCTTCTGGTTTCTGGCTCCTCTTAGCAGCCTCCCAGCCTCCCTTCTCCTCCCTCCTGGCTCTCCCAGACCTGATCTCCTGTGCAGTGATGTCCCCTCATGCTAGTCCATCTCCCATCCCATGTGAGTAAAGAGATGAAATAAGGCTGAGGCCGCTGCTCTTTCAGCTGTGGGACCACCTCCTCAGCATCCGCAGGACCACTCAAGCACTGCTGGGGCCCCAGTTGTTTGCACCAGCCGGGAGACTGCTACTGGTGGTCCTCATGTGGCCCTGGAGGGGCTGCCCTGGGTCCCCACTGGAAAGTCACTCTCCGGTCAGGAGCAGGGGTGGAGGGGCTGGAGCACGCACCTGACTCCAGGCCCTGCCGTCACCATGCACCCCTCCATGCTCCAACCTGATATCGGCTTTGGAGCTGCGCCCAACAGAGCACAAACGATTTCCTCCAGGGCTGTGGCCCGAGGCCAATGTGCCCCTCCCTACAAAGAGCAGGTCAAGCAAACAAAACAATCAAACCACAAAGCAAATGGTACAATTTTAATTCATCCACAAGTCAAATAGAAAGAAGGTAAAAGAGTATCCTGCACAAACACAAGGGAGGAGTGGGGAAAGGAGGGGGGGGGAAGAAAAGGAGCAGTAAGAAAAGGGGGAGAGAAGGAAGGGGCAGAGTCAGGGAAGAGAGAGAAAGGGCACAGGGAAGAGAGCAGATTGTGGTCCAAGTCCTGTGTTGGCCTCATCTCTCCCCTTCTCCCCAACGCTTGGTGTGTTACCAACACGGCGTCTTTGTGCCCAGACTCCTAATAGCTTGTGCCTGGACTGTGTCCCAGGCCCCCCTCAGGGGGGCACATGGCTGTCAGTCCAGACCACACTCACATTAAATAAACTCCAATATACACTGTACAAGGGAGCCAGGCCCGTCCCTCATCTCGCCAGCCGCCCACCTCCAAAGGAAGACCTCTTCCCAAGTCACTCGGCATCAGGGGACCTCCTTGGGCAGAAAAAGAAGGAATAGCTTGGTTCCACTGGGCCCACCATGTCCATGCATAAAGCCATCGTAGCCGCTAGGGGCGCCAGTGTGCCTCCCCCACCCCCAGTGGGGCAGGTGGGTGTGAGAAGGGAGTGACTAGCACCCGCAGCGCTCCCTCTGAGCCCTCTTTGTCACCCCCTGGCATCTAGAGCCCTGAGTCCCCTGTGTCCAGCTGCAGCCTAAGCAGCACAGTCTGGGAGTTGGGGTGGGGAGAGGGGGTCGTGCAAAGTGGCAAGGGGAGGGCTCCCCTCAGCCTTCCCCCTGAGAAGACCCACGTGACCGAAGGCAAGGCAAGGGCCAGGGGGAGGGGAGGTACACTACAGGCAGGGGCAGAAGATGCAGGCAGGTGGTGCCCACCCTCCATCACTCTGCAGGCGGGTGGGCCAGATTGGCCAGAACCTTGGCCTGGTCTACGGCATCAAGCAGGTTCTTGGCGTCCACGGCCAGGGTGTGGGAGGCTGTGAGCATCTGCCGCTTGCACTCCTCACTCAGGGAAGTCACAGCGTTTTGCTGGGCCAGGCGCATCTTATTGATGAGCTCTGCCAGGTCCTTGTTGAGCAGCTTCTGGGTCCCCTCAATCTGTAAGAAAAATGCACAGAGAGGCTGGGGGCCTGAGGGCTGCAAAGGTTAAGCCTGGAGAAGGGGGAAGCCATACGCATATCCCCTCTGGTGTTGGCAGTCAGAAGTTCTCTGGGAGGCAGGTCTGACCCAGGCATGGGCTGAATCTAAGGTTGGCATGGACAGATATTACAGATGCCCCAGTCCCCAGCCCACATCGTGCTAGCTCTGTATGATGCATCCCTGCAGATCCTCCCTTCACTGCAGCATCCTCCATGCTGGCCCAAGATTAGAGGGAATGGTCAAGGGACAAGTGCCCTTAGTCATTTGTTAGCTGTCTACCATCAAACCAAGAGACCAGGGATCATGATATGAACTGCAGGGTTTTGTTTACCACCATAGCCCCAGAGCCTAGCACACTACTGAGCACTACTTTGCACTCAAGAGGTATTTACCAAGTGAAATGAACAAACTGAGCCATCATAGGGAGGGTAAGGAGCTCTCCCATCACAAGGGACAGCTCCAGCTGGGCTCCTCTATGGGCTGCTGCCGCCACCCAGAGGGAGGCCGGGAAATGACCCAACTGTTCTGCGCTGTCTTGTCTTGAACAGTCACAGGTAGTGGGGACTGTGCTGCTGACCAGTGGGAGATGGTGAATCAAACTACAGCCTGGCAGGGGGCGTGGGGTTCTCCTGAGCTCTGTGGCTGGCTTCCAGACAGATAACCAACACATGTTGAGAGGTGCTATTGTTAGGCATTTCGCCATGTTCTGAATTTCCTATGGTTGTGGCCATAACCCATGACAAATGGGGTGGCTTAAAACAATACAGATTAGTCTCTTATACTTGTGGACGTCAGAAGGCTGGAGGGCCCCATGGGGCCAAAGTCAAGGGGACAGCTGGGCTATGCCCCTTCTACAGGCTCTAGGGGAGAATCTGTTCCCTGTCTTTTTCAGCTTCTAAAGACTGCTTCCTTCCTTGGCTTGTGGATCTTTCCAGCAATTATTCCAATCTACGCTTCTGTCATCCCAGCTCCTTCTCTGACTCTTGTAGACGTCTGCTTCTGCCAACCCTCTTATAAGGACCTGCACTGCACCTACTTGGATAATGCAGCATAATATCTCCATCTCAAGACCTTTAACTTTTTTTTAAAAAGTTTTTTTTAATGTTTTTCTTTATTTATTTTTGAAAGTGAGAGGGCGAGGGAGGGGCAGAGAGAGAAGGGGACACAGAATCCCAAGCAGGCTCCGTGCTGTCAGCACAGAGCCCAATACAGGGCTCAAACCCATGAACTGTGAGATCATGACCTGAGCTGAAATCAAGAGTCAGACGTTTAACCAACTGAGCCTCCCAGGCACCCCTTTATATCCTTAACTTATTCACACCTACAAAATCCCTTTTGCCAGGTAAGGTAGCATAGTTACAGTTCTGAGGATTAGGCTGTGGACACCTTTAGAGAGCTATTATTCTGGCCACCCCAGGCACAGTCTAGAGAACCAAGATTTTCATTTTGGTTTTCAGTAATTGTTTCTCACTTTTAAAAAACAAAGGAAATTATTTAAATGACCAACCAAAGAAACCATAACTATTTTGCTATTTTGATGATATGTTCACTTTAGCATTATATGGTGGGTGATTAAAAGATCACCAGAATGAAAAAGGGGAAGGAAAATGGGGAAGGGAATTTTGCATACCCTCGTGCAAAATTACCACAACTCTCTAAGACTTAAACTAGGAGACCCCCCTAGGAGCCTGGTTGGGTCCCTGGGTGTGAACTCAGCCCCCTAATGGTCCTGCTCAGATCTGTTGTCAGAACCACATGCCATGTGCGGAAGGCCCTGCAGATGGAAATGAGGCAGCCTGCAGCCCACATGGTCCTTCTGAGTCTCCTGTGTGAAGCACAGCTGAGGATACGGTCTGGGATGAGGACACTCACCTCTGTACGGGAGGATGGTGGCAAGGAGGGCAGGAGATCATCCACACTCCCAATAAGCTTCCGCAGGGTCAGGCCCACGTTCTGCGAGAGAGGGGGGTAGGGTGACCGTCACCTCTTGCTCATTGAGAAAGCTGTGTTTCCCTGGGGAAGAGCCCTCCTGGGCTGGTACCTGCCCTCCACGTCT